GATTGGTTGATTTGCATGAAACTATTATGAATAAATGTCTTTTAACAATTGAAGGATTGTCGAAGTGTGTGGAAAGAAACCTATATGTCTGCTTACTTTTGTTTTGTTATCTTGTTTGGTTTATGTGTCTGACTATCACATCAAATTGGTATCTAAAAACTTACTGGATTTTAGGATTCCCTTATATTTATTATTAAAATGAGATTTATTCATTTTAACTCAGCACTCATATACAGTTTGGTGTTATAGTTAAGGTGTTGACATGGAAACCAAGAGACCATGAGTTCTAGTTCTGTTTTAGGTGTGAAAGCTGGCTGAGTGGCCTTTGACCAGTCTCTTTGTCTCAGCCAACCCTCCTCACAGGGGTGGCTGTTATTGGTAAAACAGGAGGAGGAAGGACTGTTGTGCATGTTCACTGCTTTAAGTTGTTCATAAAAATAATAAAGGCAAGATAAAAATGTAATTCGTAAATAAAATAAATCCTCTTTTCAGAAAATAAGATAATCCTCAGTTATTGACTGCCTTGTTTAGCAACTGTTAGAAGTTATAACTATGTAAAAAAAAAAAACCAGCTTTGTGACCAATCCTTGCATTTACAACTATTGCACCTTCCCTCTGTCAGGTAAGCACCATTTGTGTGCTTTTCAACCAGCTTGTGAGAAGCAGAGTTAATGGAGAATTGGAAGTAAAATAGTAAGTTGTTGTCTTGTGATGCTTCCTTTAACTGAATGGGAAATAATATCATGACTCCATTGCATTCAAAAGATTTTCTGCTTAGTGGCTGCGGCACTTAGAAATTGAGTTCTGGTCCCAGTTGTGGCTACTAATCAACGGCTACCTATATGGGGAAAAGTCAGATTTCTATTTTTTCTTCTTTACAGAGGTATCAGTTCTGCATAATGATGCTTAGTAGCTGAATTACTGTATAGTTTTATAACAGATTCAGTCCACACATCATGATTTTTTGTTGAGGCAAGCATAAGGGGCCATAGGCTGATTTTAACCAACATGGGCAAATTTGAATTGGTGAAGTTATTTTGGTGCCAGGGTGTTAACGCAATACCAAATTAAAAGGAAACATCATGAAGTAGGTAACACATCTAGCAAACAATGGATTCTTCTGTACCTCTGTTAAGTAAGAAAGTTGAATAATTAATTACTGTGACATGACAGAACAGATTCAGCATAAATGGGCATGTCATTCATATAATTATAAAGATCCATCGCCAAGTATTTGTGACATAGTTTGGGGGTTATGTAAAAATGAGTATGTTTAAAAAGGTTGCATACCAAAACTCTCTATATTAAAATAATAATAAAAGTAGTATCAGATATAATTGCATATACTGCATGCATTGGAAATACTGTACATGTAATCAGAATGTGATGATCAAAGTTAATATAAAGCTACCCTGAAAATAATGTTTACTCAAAGGGCAACCTTTCCTTTTCTGACAGCAATCACCATGGTTGCTCCTGCAAATACCAACTTTATCTTGGGTTTTTCTTCTCAGAAGAGAGGGATAAAAAATGATATCATAGAAAAAGTTTCTGAGCATGAGAGGCTTGAATAAACAACTGTTTAAAATGCTTATAAAATGCTTTTTTTTAAAAAAAAAAAAATCAGTTTACAAGAATTGAATGAAAGAACACCTTTTATTTCTACACAATGCACCACATGGCTGCTTGGTAATCTTCTTGCCATAGGATGCAATAACACAAGGCAAAAGCTGCAGGTAAATTTAGATGAAGTGTTAGGCTTTGAACTTGGGAAAATAAAAGAAAAATACCTTCATCATTCCCAAATAGACAGATTAATACATTCTGTCTGAAAAGTGGGCTTGCCACAACAATTTCTTGCTGTCAAACACTAAGATGGATATCAATCTGAAACAAGATGTAAAGGGATGCTTCGCTTATCATGCTACTTGTTTTGCATGGTGTTCAGACTGTATTTATTGTTACAGAGTGGCATTTGTGGAGCATCAGAAACAACACATATCTAGAGACTCTGTTCCACAGATTGTCCAGGGGTTTTGCAAGAATAAAAATGCACACAGCTTCTATTTGAACCCGTATATGTTTAGTGAAGGTTTCAGGCTGCTTAATAGGATAAATATTGTACATATTTCCCCAGAGATAAAAGAATGCTCTCTTTGCCAATTCCTCAAGGCCTTCTGCATCTACCTTTTTGCTGGCCACAGTAAAGGAATGAGAAACATTTTTAAATGTCCCTTCTAGTTTCTATTGCACTTTGTCCCTATTAGCTTTGTCTGATAAAGCAGTAGACCCTACCTGGAAAAAAAAAAAGGAATAAGAGTCTACATCGATATCTTTAAGATTAGACTATTGCAGTACGTTATCAGAACTTGCAATTGATCGAAAATATAGTTGCACAGGTGGGTAGATGCTAGTGATGGAAGAGAAGATTTGTAGCTCAGGATTGGCATTGTGGGGTCCTTGGTGCTCTCTGAGTTTGGTTGTTTTCTTATAGGCATTTTATTACCAAATTAGATAACATCATCAGTGCAATGGGTAGATGTTCCCTGAAGTCCCTTTCATTTCTCTCACACTGAAATAACTTCACTTGTTGTCTTCTGAGTCCAATTTAAGTGTTTTTAAAAAGCAAGTATATTGAATTTGGTAAATTATAATCTGATTTCTTTGCAAGGTATATGAATTCAGTCCTTCTGATTTGTAAACCATCAGTTGTTGTACCAAACTTGTGTGAACATAGCCAATGGTGTCTTTCATCAAATCAGGATTTTTTTAAAAATAGAAAGGCACGACTTACCATAATGTGTGAATCCAGCTAATGGACTTTATAGCCAAATGCATACGTAAGGATTTCACTATAATTAAAGTAAAAGGGAAAGTCATTTCCTGCATAGTTGAATTATAGCTTGTACCAGTAGATTTTCTTCCTTTGAAGCCCTTTTGCAAGTTAGTGAATTTCATGCTAAAGGTGTTTGAGCAATAAGAACCTTTCAGAATGTTACATCTTCCTGGAGTAGATAGGCACAAGAGAAGACTTTCTCATTAATCACGTCTGAGACGGAGACATTTCTTAAAATTTGAGATTGAGAAGCAGCAGACTGCCATATGACTGAAGATTGGTCACATTAGGGGGGGAAAAGCTACCGTAATGCCAAGTGTGCGCCTTAAAGATAAGGCTGTTACTTTCCCTGCTGCTGTTTAATACTTTCACTGGCTGCTGAAAGCTTTGCAAATAGAATATTTTTAAAAAGCAATGGTTGTTTTTATGAACACTTTGAATGTCTGTAGTGGGAACAAATTAGAGTAGCTGTAAGCCGCCGTAGGTGGAGACCCATGTTAGCTTACGGTAGCATAACATTTTAGTGTGGAAGCCCCCTTTCTGCCTAACACATTTTAGTACAAGGAATCTGCTTCAAGAGCTACGGTTCATTTCATCAGATGCCCAGCAAGGCGCAGTCGACAAATGGAACAAATTTTGCCCATAAGGATTAATGGACACAAGCTTGATAACAGGATTTAAGATGAGAACAAGGAATTTACTGGACCATTTCAAAACCTCAGAGACACTGTGACAACTCTCAGAATGGTCATTTTGGAAAAAACATTGTAAATTTTAACAGCACCAATGAGCAAAAGATTGCTGAACTCAAATACAGGTAATCCTCAACTTACAACAGTTCATTCAGTGAGTATTTGAAGTTACAACGGCACTGAAAAAAGTGACTTATGACTGTCTTTCACCCTTATGATCGTTGCAGACCCCATGATCAAAATTTAGGCACTTGGCAACTGACCTATATGTATGATGGTTGAAGTGTCCCAGAGTCATGTGATCGTCTTTTATTATCTTCTGATATGTAGAATCAATAGGGAAGCCAGATTCACTTAACAACCAAGTTGCTAACTTAACAACTGCAGGGATTCACGTAGCAACTGTGGCAAGAAAGATCATAAAATGGGGCAAAACTCACTTAAATGTCTTGCTAAGCAACGTAAATTTTGGGTTTAATTGCGGTCCAAAGTTCAAAGGGTACCTGTATGTCAAAAGGATTCAGACTATTTCAAAATGTTTTAGCAAACACAATGGGTTTTTAACTTGTTATAATTTGTTTCAAACAAGCCACTCTTTGCATCTGATGAAGTAAGCAGCATCTGGCAAAAGTTTCGCTTTTTAATAACATTTGCTAGAGGGAAAAGTGTGACTAGACCAATAGTGGGATTCAATTTTTTTTACCTGTGGGTGTGGCTTGGTGGGCATTTAAAATCTCCAGTCAGAGGTGGCATTTGCCGGTTCTCCAAATTGCTCAAAATTTCCGCTACCAGTTTTCCAGAACTGGTCAGAACCTGCTGAATACCACTAGACTCCTTCTGATTGTAAGGTGCATGGAAAGCCTGGACTAGAAAATAAAGCAACCTGGACTACAACTTTGTAATAAACTCCCCTCCCCACCTTTATGAAACCTTGTAGTCAGAGATCATGGGTTCATGAGAATTATAGCCTTAAACACCTGGACGGCACCAATTCTGCTGAACTACAATTTCAAGAAAGCAGTTTGGGAATTAATGGAAATTGTGGTCCTGCAACATGGTCCCCAGCAATAAACTGTAGAAAACTGGTACCTTCCCCAGGGCTATATATCATAGGAAGGTATCCACAGAAGGCCCATTTAATGGCTGGATTTACTTACAAGCTTTTAATTGTATGGTTATAATATTTACTCATTTAGAAAAAGTGGTGTGACTGTAGTTCAAAGTGAGACCAGAATTATATTTCTCTAAATAGAAATTAGTAGAATGTTACAAAGGTAATATGTAATGCAATCATTATTTGCCTAATTCATGAATTCCCAGCAGGAATAACATTTAACTCCATGATTTACGAAAAACAGTTTCCTTACTGGATAACATGAATCTAGTGTTTTGGCAGAAGAAAAACAGAACACACAAAATGATAAGCCCAGGGAAATAAAGCTCATACTATTTCTATTTATTATTTTACTTAGGATACAGCTGGACAAGAAAGGTACAGGACCATCACGACTGCTTATTACAGAGGAGCAATGGGATTCATCCTGATGTATGATGTTACTTGTGAAGAGTCCTTCAATGCTATACAAGACTGGTAGGGACAGTTCAATGTTATGTCTTTTAAAACAAAAACAGTTTTGGATAAAGGTAACCATGTATGAAATCAGCTTACACCAAATTTTGTAAGACAGGAGAGGAAATCCAGCTGTTTAACAAATGTTTTAATCTAATTTATGCCCTTTTATTTAATTATTGTCTTTGATTCTGTCAAAGGTGTACATTAATAATTTCAGATTTCTAGTCCAATTCTGTCTGCCACAGAATACAATGGGACTTGATTGCAGCAGATAAATATGCGTAGGACAGTTGAATGTCCTCAAAGATGCTTCATTAATGCACATCAGTTTTTTCTTTTCTTTTCCTGGAACGATTTTGCAGTCCAAATATTCTACTAATGGCATTCACTGTCAACTCAAGTTCATTTCACAATGTCAATGAATAACATCAGACCTGCCTAATGTTTATTTATGAGATTTCAGAGCCACTCTAATTATACAGACAGCATCTGTATTACCAGAAGCTATACACCATTTTACCATCTGTATGACAGTATGTTGTCCAACCTTCAAACACTGTCACATTTCTTTGAATATAATTCTCATTCAAAACATTTGGCGGTAGTCCAATATTCTTGACTACATTTTAGTTTTAGATGGAAAAGTGTGTCTTCCCATTAGTAAAAAAATCCTGACATGAATGAACTCCTCATTTCCGAATCTCTAAGATGTATTCAGATGTCAAGTCTTGGTGACAAAACATGCTTTTTGGTCTTGACATCTTAAGCTACCAAGTAGGGCCACCTTAAAATCTCTACATAAGTAAAATCAGCACTCAAATCCAATAATAAGACAGTTATTCTGCACAGATTGACCTTAATTAAATGGTTGTCAGAATAGACATGGATAGCATCAAAATATCCACTTCCAGGAAGTGATCCTTTCTGTTCTGTATTAGCTGTATTAGCATTCTTGTAATACTTAATTCTGATTGGTTAAAACGCACCGCGCTCGGATTGGCTGAGTAAGCCGCAGTGATTGGCCCGTTGCGAATCACCCGCGATTGGATAAACCGATCGCGGGAGATTCGAAACGATGTCATTGGCCGCGGCGCCAAAAGCAAGTTCTATATAAGCCGCCACCGATCCGAGCCGGGCGAGCCGATATAAGCACACAATAAAAAGAGCTTGAAAATCACTGTTCTCGCATCTCTCCTTTGGGACCGATCTACCGATATAACCCTTTCCCTCTAGCCTGTCTCCTCAGGATGATCTCGGTAGTAACATCAGTTGAATCCCACCACTCGGTACCATGTAGGATCCAAAGCATTCTGTAAATAAAGATAATGCTAGAAACTGGCTTTTACCACTTTCCCATTTTAGAATTGAAAACAAATGTTTTAAAAATTAGAATCATGCAGGGGCTATGAAGAATATATTTAGTCCTATTGGTGTCAGCAGGGTGAAGAAACCAACCACAATAAAATGAGTGGAATAAAGTATTGTTGTTCTCAACCACATCCATATTTTGAAATGTATCATGAATACTGTGAAATACTCTTTATCATAAATAACAGCATACGGATGTTTCAGATTTACATATATCTAGGTTTTATTCACTTAGATCTCAACTTATTTACATATTAATCACATTTATATGGCTGCCCATCTCAGAAGTGAGTGAAATAACTTACAGCTATTTCTACACACACACACAAACTTCATGTCATGGACCAGAAAGGCTTGGGTAGAAGTTGAGTGCAATATTGCATCATTCATTAGAGACAAAATCCTCTTAAAATCAATAGGGCTGACTAATGTTAAGTGAAACAATTACCTACTAATGTCCTCCAGGCTGGTGACGGTCATTTCTTAGTGGTGTTTTAGTTTGCATTTCTTCGTGACTAAGTTATTGGATTTGATGGCTTAGACAAGGCTCTTTTCCAAAGAATTACCATAATATAATTATGAATAGTTCTGCATAAAATTATACAAAATGCTCTCAAATCCATGGCATTCTGTGAGGAGGGCATGAAAATCTATCAGTCTGCTAAGTCACTTCTAGCACCCCAAAATCCTAATTTGGTTAGGTTTGTTTGCCTTCAGTTCACATATAAAATTTCCAGGATAAGGTTCCTGCATAATTATTTTTAAACAAGAAGTCCTTCTCTCTCCTTGACAGCAGAGGATGTAAAAGGCAATAGGGGAATCCTAGGGAAATGGTAATAGGGAATGTTCATTTGTTGTCGTCCTGGTCTTCAGACAGCTATCAGTGTAGTAGGAGCTTTGTCAGAGACAATGACAACCCTTGTATCTGTGACGATACAACACTTCCTAGGCAGCTGAAAGCCCTTTTTGCTCTTTAAATCACACATCCCTGTGATAATTATTTCACACATCAAGGAGTGGTTTTAATTTATGTTTTTTTCATAAAATGAGAAATATATTACTTCTTTTAACAAACTTGCACTGCGCCAGTTTGGATCATGTGCCTAACTGCTCTCTGTAATGGGGTCAGATTGAGTCAAACATTCCCCATCAGTGAGTTTAACAGCATGGTTCTAGGTCAGCAAAACAGCATGCAATATTACTGGAAGGATCTGTCAGCTTAAACTGCATAATTAAATTCACACATTTTAGGGCAATATGGGTGACTGCATTTTCATTATGCAAGAACTGGGGAAATCACTGTGTATTAAGAGAGCAATTCTCCAAGAGCTCTTTCTTATGGCCATGTTACTGTGCTTTTCCCACTCTTGAGACAGGAGAAACAAATATCGTTATAAGATACACTGTCTTTACTGTACTGCAGCGGCCAGACTACATTTCTTATACAATTTAATGGGGGATAATTTCAAGGCAGCAACTGTTGGATTCCTTAGCTTCTTTCCTCCTATCCCCACCATCATGTCCCAGAGGGAAAACCAACCACAAATTGTTGGCCTGAATGTGTGTTGAATATGGTTGGGAGCTCAACCTTTAATTTGCATTGTTTATTTTTTTAGCCTTATTTTTATTACTTCCTATATGCTTCTTCTGAGAGGCATTTTGATCCTTGTCAAAGGGTGATAATCATATGAAATGATTTCACAGATGGTACCATCTCGAGGTTGTCTGAATTCCAACCTCCTGGTTCTGAGAATCACTCCATCACCCCTTACCGAAAGTCTGCCTTAGTGTTTGGAATAACTGGTTTGAATGAAATGACAGAAGAAATGAAACCAGAGGGGTCTTGGTGCTTTCGTGCACCTGGATCTTTCATTTCTTTCTTCTTCTCTATGAATTGTTTATGACCATGCAAAGAAACGTTCTCTATCTCATCCCTCCCTTCCACCTTTGAGTCTCTCTGTGTTACATATTTTTCACGCTTTATAATATGCACAGCACATACACATATCACATACACATGTCAAATACCAGTATTGCTGGTAGACAGCTCTATCAATCCTCTGAGAGTTTGTTATTTTGGTGCAAAGAAAAACAGGAGAGGTATTTACCGTCTCTTGTTGACCAAAGTCAAAGCAGCCATGAAGGTACTCTGCTGAACGACTAAATGACAGTGGAATTTCCACAACAGGCTGTTCGGGCCAACAGCAGTGGGTTATTGCTGGGTCACCCCCCAGGATCATTTCTGAGGCACCCTAGATTGTCTTGGATAGGGAGCGGAAAAGAAATACCACTTCCAAACTAGAATTATTAAAAAATGTTTCAAGGCTGCCTCAGGGCTGTGGCTGAGGGTTGTGGTAATCTGAGTCCCAAAGTCCCACCAACACTATCTTTTTACCGTTTTGGTTGCCAACACAATTGATGGATCAGTTTCATCTCACATAAATGAAAGAAACACTGAAACTGTAATGAAAGTCTCAAAATGGGCTAAAGATAGTTAAACACATACAGACAAAAACAAACCCCGCTTACTCAAACAGGAATGAAATATAATATTCTAGGTTGGTGGCCCCCAACCTTTTGGCCACCAAGGATTGGTTCAGGGAAAACAATTTTTCCACAGAAAGGGTGAGGTATGGTTTTGCGCTCTTTCTAGATTCTGCACATGTGCAGATGAAGCTTTGCTCCTTGTGAGGCCGGTTCCTAACTGGCCACCGACTGGTACTGGTCTGTAGCCCAGGGATTGGGGACCCCTGTTCTAGGTTATGCTGCAACTCCTTGCCTGTCCTGTGCATTAAACAGAAGGTGGCTCTGTCCTGAGTGTTAAGACAAGTTAAACCCAATGGAATCAGTGGCATCTAAACAAATCCTGACTAACTTAAATCCCACTGATTTTATTACATTGTCCCTAAGCATTATTAAATCTTCATTGAACTCATTGGCCTGTTTACACTAACATCAGTGGGAATGTAATATTCAGGAGCTGAACGCAAGATGAAAAAAATAACCTAATTTTAAAACCTGTAAAGCGAGAAAGTGTCAAGGGCTAAAATGTATTCAATGTTAATAGAACAGGCACTTCACAAGTTGCATCACTCTGTGAAAAGTTCAAGGTGTACAGTCAGCTCCGAAGAAGTGCTGAACACCTCACTTCATACCGAAACTAGAAAAATGGAAAGGAATTAGAGAAAAGGCCACATTTGTTGCCCAATTTAATATATCTCAATCCTCAGGGGGAAAAAAACCTGGAGATGCAAAGGAGGTAACTATGGCTTACAGGTTATTTGTTGTAATTTCCTTTGTTTGATTGATCAATGCCATAGTCCTGTGTACACATAATAGACCAATATAAATATCGTATGGCAAACAGGCAGAATGCCACTAAGATACTGAAAAGAAGGTATTTGTGCAGAGTAAAGAAGGCAACAATTGTAGAGATATGCAGGAACCATTACCTAGGCAGAAGCATTTTTTTAAAATCACAATGAGATAATATCCAAAGCCAGCTCAGGTAGATTCCTCCCTAATTCAACGAAGTATAATGAAATACAATGGAGGAGACAAGTAGAAGAAACTGCTGCTTTTAGAATGACTATTGTATTGAATATAACCATTGAAAAAGGAAAGTGACTTGTGACAAAAATGTACACTAGCAGTTTAAAATTAAAAAATGCACATTAACAGTGTTTCCATGTCACTGCCATTTTTGCCTCCCCAACTATATAAAATGAATTGATACAAATTAATCTGGGATGCACCCAGATGAAAGATTTCATCTCCCCTTTAGAAAAAAAGGCGTGACTATTTTAATCGGGATAAAAGAAGCAATTCATTGTCCCCCATTTTGAAGAGTAATGAAGCCAAAGCCCAAAAATGTTTTCCCATGAAATGATTGGCCCTATGGAATGTAGTGTGTGGTATGATATAGCTAAGTACTGGTAAATAGTGCACAGGAGTGGAGAACAATGTGCCAGTGAGCTGAACAAATTGGAAAAAGGTTCTGTGGTTTTTTTTCAGAATTTCTTAAAGCCAACAAGAAGAAATTTATTATATTCTGCAAACATATAAAATTGAGGCATTTGCAGCATCATGTTCTATTTTTTAAATTGCCCCATAATTTTTGCACTGATTGAAATAAAATCTAATATGAGACCATAATTAGGAATGTTGAATCATGAAATGGCTGCCACAGTACATCTTAGTATATATTATAATGCATAATATTTCTCTCTTAGTATGGAAAGAGCCTTCGTTAATATTTAGCTTTAACATTACTTTAACTATATATCTGCTGTAGTATGACTAAAACATGCAACTGAAAACAGCTGTGAAAAAATCCAAACCTAAATGTGTTATGGAATTGTTTGCAATTTTCAATGAATCCTTCAGAAGTAAACATCACCAAGTTTCATATTTATTCTCAGGTAAGTTTGTGTAGGATTGCAAGTGGGAGAATTCACCATCAACATTAGCTACAATATTAATTAAATTTAGAGCTGTTGAAAAGTGAAGCTTTAAGAGTATACTTTCTTTAACAATGGGTGCTGAAATATTCCATTGGCTCTTCCTAGATTGGTTATCACAATTCCAATATTTATTTAAACCAGGCCCTATCAGCAAGGCTAGTGATGAATATTCAATGGATATGCTGATTAAAAATGCATACATTGACTGGCTGACACTGCTTTTATATGAAAGCATGGATTGACCACTGATAACCAAAAAATTGTAGGAATGAATGATAATTCTATCTTTTTATCATGCATGTGATAATGAATAAATGAATTATCAATGTGATCATTTTAAATCAGAAAGCAAACTCCACCAGCAGTCTCAAAGACTCAGATTTTTGACAATATAAATAGGAGGGAGATATAAGGAAATATTCCATTAACTTGGGTCTGTTTAATGAGGTAGAAATTGTCCATGGTAAGAGTGCTGGCTAGCTGAAGTATATTAGAATTACAGGGCAATATGGCTTACTTGAATTAATCCATATTTTTAATCTTCTGGCTCCCCCTGCTGGATTTAAAAGGGGTTGTTTTTGTGTTTTTGCTTTTGTGATAATGCCTTCTAAAGCATTGTTTCATTTACCCTTTCAAGTTCACAATAATTATTTTCTAAGTGTGGAAAAGAGAAGGAGTACTGAAGCAAAACATCTTTTAAATCTACTTTTCCCCCTTTGTTTTAATAAATGCATTATGAATATGCATTGTTCATTCCGTATGAATGGCAATTCCATATGATGGCATATTTCATCAATATTTGAGTCAAGATTGTCAACGGAAAGCTTGCAGGTCTGCTAGCTGGAGCTGCACGAGAACAACCTGCATCATCTTGCAGAATAGCTTGGAAATAGAGCTCTTCCAATGAACATAGCTTAAGAAATAGTGTTCTAAGCTAATTTTATAGCCAAATACTAAGGTGTTGGCTCACATATAAAGTAATGGGAATTTCTAGAGCTAAATACTTTGCAATAATACTAACAACATCATCTTGGTAACAACACTGGTTCTTTTCAAGCTGTTGCTGTTGTTTTGAGGTTGATGGCTTTTTGTAGCTATGATTCCCAGCAAATCATATTGTTGTCTTTTTTTTTTACAGGGCCACTCAAATAAAGACATATTCCTGGGATAATGCACAAGTTATTCTGGTTGGGAATAAGTGTGATGTGGAGGATGAAAGAATTATTCCTATTGAAAAAGGAAAACATTTGGCTGATCAGTTGGGTACATGATCAACCTTATCTTTTTTTTTCTCCTCCTCCCCCTTTCTTTCCCCCTAATCTATAGACACATCTCATCTTTACCAGATATATTATTTATTTTTTATTACCAGAAGACAAATCAGTGTTGAAAGAATCTCAAAGCCTTATGTCTGTCATTGTGTCTTACGGTTTTTATTCCTCTAAACATGAAATTTGAGTTAGCAATGTTTTCCAGTTCCAATATTTGACTCAAGTAAGGCATATAGGAATCCCTTCCCCATTATTTTATTTCACTACCTGACTTGTGTTTTCCCTTTTAGCTCAAGCTTTGTGCCTACCCATTCATATTTCTTTCCTTTCCAGTATACCTATTAATGAATTGATCCATTTCATGTGCCATTATGACTATATCAGCCTTCTGCTTATGCTTCTATTATGTCTGACATCTCAGTTTGTGTCAGGGTTCAAGTCTTAATTGTTACTCTAAAAACTCTTCTCCTTTCTCTCTCATTATATAACCCCTTGTTCAATCCCACTGTGTATTCTGATGTTTAAATTGTATGCAACTAGATTTTAGTATCTGCAGGGATTTTTGTTGTTTATTCTAGTCATGTCTCCAGAATCTTAGTCTGATACTTATCACTATCTTTCTGTTGCTTTGTAGCAGATAATTACAGTGTCACTCAAATAGGTAATCACTGAAAGCTGACTTGAAATGGAAGTCACATAAAAATAAATTCTGGGTTTACACACCCCACTAAACATAAGATTACTTAAATACATTTTATTTAATTTTTCATTAAATTTATATGGTGCCCATTTGATTTAATTCAATAAACACAGTTGGATTTGCACAATAGCCTAACACTGATTTAACAAGGATAATTTCTAAAACTAAGAACTGAAGGAATACATGAAATATGAGGATAGTTGTATCGAAGAAACTGAATGCGCTGTAGAAGGCAAAAACCAAGGAAGATTAAAGGAAAATCAGAATTAAAAATATACATGTCAGCTTTGGCTGAATATCTCTGTCAAGATTCAAATCACAAAACAGGCCTGAGGAATGTCAGCATCCTGGCAACTATAACAGCTGTTTCTCCAGCATTCTTAGGGAAGTAATAGAAATGGTAAATATTAACATTGAAACAAGGAAGAAAGTATCAGCAGTATAACTATATGACAATTGATGACTGGTTGTGGACATTCCACCCTACATGTAGGATCTATAGGCCTGAGATGTTGCCAAACTGTTCAGATCTTTGAAGAACATAGCAGCACAGCTAGAAAAAAGTTGGTTACATATTCATTGTCTCACCAGACATATGCTAGAAATCATTTCACTGATAAAGGTGGCTGTGAAATCCTACAATACGTGATTAAATGTTATAGTTTTACAAAATGTGTAAATTCAAAGATAGCTCTCAGGTCACCATTTCAAACATCACAAAGAATAGATCAGTAGATTTTCAACAAAAGCAATTGCCATTGTTTAATATTTTAGTGAAGATCTAGGAGTCTGTAATTAAGTCACGGATTTAAACTTATCAGTAACAATCCCTTTCTCAGGAAAGAAACAGTGTGCATTGTGCTTTGGTCCCATTACCATAGCTGCTACTGAAATGCAAAGTGGGAAATAACCATAAGAGCCTTCAGATGCAAAGGTGTATCTGACAAATCAATTGTGCTGTGTGAGAAAGATCCCAAACCCATAAATCTCCCACATCATCACAATTTCCCAGAAGTATGAAGAAGTAAATTTTTTTTAAATTATTCAGCTTCCTAAAAAAATGGATTAAATACGTCTTGATGTGATTGGATACGCCCAAGCGTGCTTTTTCAAAAGACAACTAGACTTTCTTTGTTTTTCCTTGAAGACATTTTGCTTCTCATCCAAGAAGCTTCTTCAGTTCTGAAGAAGCTTCTTGATAAGAATGAAGAAGATTCTTGGATGGCAGGCAAAATGTCTTCAAGGAAAAACAAAGAAAGCCTAGTTGCCTTTTCAAAAAGTACATTTAGGCCTTTCCAAATCACATCAAGATGTATTTAATCCATTTTTTAAAATTTTGTTCCTCGTCCAAGAAGCTTCTTCAGTTCTGAAGAAGCTTCTGAGATGAGAAGTCAAGAAGCTTCTCGGATGTGAAGCAAAACGTCTTCAAGGAAAGATAAAGAAAGTCCAACTGCCTTTTGAAAAAGCACCTTTGGAACAACCATGACCTGGATGATTAAGAATCTCCATAGATTTGGAAAGGTGTTTCTTATGTTATTAGCAAAACTTCAAACTCAAAACCACTTATTAGTTTTACTAGTGTGAGGATCTTCAGAATACATCCTTACATTGCACACAGATACCTTAATGGACTACTGAGCTTATTGTGAAAATCTGCCAAGTAGGCAGAATCTGGAATACATGCCCCCAGTTGGACCATTCACTGATTAAATGGTTTCAGAAATTTTCTTTTATATGCTGTGAGACAATGACAAACCATCTTACCTCCTTTGAACTTGAGCTGGTTATTCTTGTAAGAAACCAGCTACTTATGAACTGAGCAGAAAATGTAACTCTAAAGTAGCATGAAGTGTAATCTTGGGATAAGCTGAGAACTTATTTGTTTACTTTGTTCCAAAAACTAGGTTTTGATTACTTTGAAGCCAGTGCCAAGGAGAACATCAACGTGAGACAGGTCTTTGAGAGACTTGTGGACATCATTTGTGAGAAGATGTCAGAGAGCATGGAATCGGAAGCTTCAAAGGCTACAGCTGGGAAAAATGTGCGGCTCACATATCAGCCACCCCCGCTGCAGCAGAAGTGCTCCTGTTAGTGCCTCAAAAATCAGTAGGAATTTTTCCCCTGACACAGGAATGTTTTCTCCTCACTTAACTGTCTTTAGAAAGGGACGTGTCTATGCTGGTGGAACTACTGTAAGTACATTTGTTCAGTGTCCATAAAAATCCTGTAACATATTCTGCACCATGAAGTGGCTGTTAGTGCTAGCATTTCATTGAGAATTTATCTTAAGATTTAATATTTTATAGTGTTATCCCATTCTGAATTATGCTTGGTGTTTCTAATAATTTTATTAAAAATTGAGCCAGATAACATGAATTCAAAATACTTCTGGATCTGTTCATTAGAAGTCACTGCTAAGATTGATGGTTAAATAAATAGCATTTATCTGTAATTAAGATATACTTTGGCTGCATGTTGATAAAAGAGAGATGCAAGTAACAGAATTATTAGCATGTGCAGTAATAATTTTAAGATGCTGAATTGCTCCATTTCTTTCATTTTATTTTTGGCAGTTTTTTTCAATCCTATCCCACCATTCAGTCCCCAAATACTTCTGATTATTTGATCATCAGTCTCACTGAAGCCAGTGGTAATTATTATGAGATGTAAGGAGTCTTGCTATAAATAATGTTGCAATGTTCTCTTCACTATTATCAGAAGAAATCCAACTGTGTTTAATGATGCTTATTCTGGTAACTTAAATAAGATTAGACATAAATTTGCATAAACATATACAATATTCATTTCATTTCAGCCATTGTATAGACAGTAGTAAAAAAAATCAGTAACTGTGATTTTTTTTCTCTATTTGGTATTATTACAAAAAGTTTTATTTTCTTGTATATTTATGATATATTACAAGATACTGACTTAAAGTGCTTGTAGTGTATTTGTTGTTCTTGGTAAGTTTTTGACAAAATAAAACGTTATTTGGTAACTACAGGTTATTTTATTAATCTACCGGTATATACTATGTTAGGCTGTGAATTCTACAGAGGGCTACCATGCTTACACCAAGGGAGAACTTATTTTTAAAGTATCACCTATGAAAGAGAAACTTGCTAGATCAGTCTCACTCCCTGAGGTAAAGAATTTGATTTGTTATCAATACTGCCCTTTATTGATCCAAAAATGATACTGAAAATTGGGAAAAGTGACAAGGTTTGACTTTCTGATATGAAAGCGTCTCTCAATGTAGGTGAGAACCAGGCAGGGAAAACATGCATTGTATAATTTCTAGCATTTGTTGCAGCTCCTTCACCAGTAGCAACGATTTTCCTATGTAACAAACATCGTGTTTTATGTCTCTTTGCACTGTTTTGCATGGGTTTTTTTCTACTTATCAAATCAAGTCCATTATCTTTTGAGTTATGCTGGTGATGCAGACAGATAAAACCTCAAGCCCCTTTGTGGAATTTCCCCCCAAACACGTGTATTTCTTAATTCATTATTAACAAAAATCTGGGGTTTTCAAATACAGAAGAAAAATACACTGGTTGAAGCAACTTACTATATTATGGTCAAGAAAAACCTTACTATGAAGCCTAATATAATAAATATAAAATATTATATTTAATACATTTCAAGTTTACTTTTTGCCTCCCCACCCAGCAGTCCAGGTTGAAAGCACAATACGGATAAAATGAAATACAATAAATATCAGCATGAAGGTTTTATAACACAACCAGGTCAGTTGAAAATAAATTTCCATGAAATTAAAGCAACAATTCTATTAACAGTATCCTAGAAGTAAACTCTTGAATCAGACAAAACCTCTGATAACTTCATGGGCATTTCTGTGCAGTTTCCTTCACAACAGTAGGAAAAGGCTCCTCACAAGTATTCTTCTGGGATACTTTTTTATTTCCTGGTGTAACCTATAGAGTGGGTGGTCTCCCAACTAAGATCTGCTATGGTTACAAATGTATTGCCTCTTAAGACTACTCAGGAGTAAATCTCATTCAGTTCTAAGTATAGTAGGCATAAAACGGAGCATAGGCCAAGCTGGGGAATAAAATGATTTATCTCCTTCTTTATATATTAGAAGAGTCTAGATTAGATTGCAGCCAAGTCTGAACACACCAAGTATCAAGAATATTCTTCTTCACAGAACAACTAATTTAAATGATGGAGAAAGTTAAACAGTGTTTAAATCACCGCTACAGTTTTACAATAGGATGGCTGTAACTGATTGCAGATGGCTTAGGTTTACTTAAATATACAGTATTTTTTTCATAGGTATGGGTTGCAATAGGTTTTAATAAAGGTGGAGAATGTCACATCTTTTAAAGTAATTATATTATTAAGACCAATTGAGCATTCTGTGCAGATTATTTTAAGTATGATGATCTGCAAGGGGTGAGGGGAGCAGGGTCCTCAGGTAGTCCTTGACTTGTGATCAAAATTTCTGTTGCTAAGTGAGATATTAAAGTAAATTTTGCCCCATTTTATAACCTTCTTTGCCACAGTTGAGTGAATTATGCAGGTGTGAAGTTAGTAACACAGCTGTTAAGTGAATCTGGCTTCCTTATTGACGTTGCTTGTCAGAAGCCACAAAAGGTGATCCCATGACCCTGGGACATTGCGATTGTCATAAATGTGGGTCAGTTGCCAAGCACCTGAGTTTTAATCACATGATCATGGGGATGCTGTAACAGTGGCATGAAAAAACGCTCATAAGTCACCTTTTTCAGTGCTGTTTTAATTTCAGCCACTAAACAAACTGTTGTAAGTCAAGGACTACCTATACTGCAATTAATTGTGTGTACTGTTATGAAATTTATCTACACCAATCTTGTATGAAAAATTAAGAGGGCTTTTATCCACTCCCCACTGCCACTTCTTTTTCTGCAACTTTACACTATGTGAGAGGCAACATCCGGTGCTCAGTTGTGGGTGGGATCAGAGACGCACTTCTTGGCTATCTCAAACTGGGGCTCCTTCCGTCTCTGCCCCGTCCACTACATCTCCCACTTTTGTCTACAAATACATTAACTTCTACAGGTAGTCCTTGACTTACGACCACAACTGAGCCCAGCATTTCTGTTGCTAAGTGAAACATCGGTTAAGTGAATTTTGCCCCCTTTTACAACCTTTCTTGCCACAGTTGAGTAGCAACTGCACCGCAGTTGTTAAATTCGTAACGCTGCAGATGGTCGCAAAAAGGGACACTGCAACAGTCATAAGTATGTGTCAGTTGCCAAGGGCCTGAATTTTGATAATGTGACCATGGGGATGCTGCAATGGTCATAAATGTGAACAATGGTCATAAGTCACCTTTTTCAGTGCCACTGTAACTTGAACGGTCACTAAATGAACTGTTATAAGTCGAAGGCTACCTGTACTATACCCAATACAAGAACCCAGTATAAGAAATCTAGGAGAAATTTCCTTTCTTAGAGATTTAGAGATCTCCCAAATGTGCATGGCCACCAGCCTCAACCAATGAGTGCGGAAGGCGGAGAGTCGCTGTCCGACAAACTCAAAATACATCTAAAGTGTTGATCCGTTTTTCCTTACACCCAATTCTACTGCCCCGAACAAGAACTCCCGTGTCTTGGTCGAACGTCAGGACGGACGTCACACACTCGCACAGAAAAGCAACATTCGGTTCTGAGCCGCTCGGCCGCAGCCTCCAGAAAGCTTGCAGCGCTGGGCTCCGCTCCCGCCTCCTCCGCCTCTGTGTCTCTATCAGAGAAGCGATTTGCCGAGGATTTGTTGGCGGGGATCACGTGGGCAAGAACCTGGGGCTCTGATTGGATAATAGCCGGTGTGTTCAGACCTTAGCACCGGCCTGTGATCTTGCAGGCTGGAACGGCCCGGCCGGGTTTTGGGCCCGCGGCGGATGCGGAAGGTGTTAACCGCTGTATCGCGGGGTTGCTCGGGAGTAAGTCCGCTGCGAATAGATCGAGCCTTCCACGGTCGGGATCGTGCCGGCCTGAGAGACCATCTAGCCGGGCTCCGAAAGATCTTCGCCTTCAGGCCCATCGTGCGTCGCTGCTCCGCGGTTATCTTGACAGCCATGCCGGGTAGAACCAAGGCCTCGTCTACCTGCGGCCCTGAGCAGTCCGTGGACTCGGAGGGCAGCCGTGGGGCCAAGACCGGCGCTGTCCAGGAAGAAGCCGGTGCGGAGAACGGAGGCGCCGCCGCCGCCGCCGCCTGCGAGCCTAGCCCCAACTTGGGCGATCCCGAGATCGTCAAGTCCCCCAGTGATCCCAAACAGTACAGGTACTACGAGATGCTGCAGCTGCTGGCTGCCAAACACGGACGGGGTGGGGCGGGTGGTTGGGTCGGATTGATTTTATTTGGAGAGATCTAGAAGGTGAGAGAGGCTGATGCTCTCTGCTGAAGGCCACCCTCACCATTTCATTGCCGTAAAACAAATGTGTGTGTGTGTGTGTGTGTGTGGGCAGCACAGTAGTTTCAACACTAGACAAGAAAGGGAGAGTGACAACAAATTATTCAGGGTTGGTCTTTTAGTTACTTGCAGGTTGTAGTATTTAGATCCTTTGTTCAGAGGCAGGTTTGCGGAGGATGGCTCATGTTTTGCTTGTGAGCAATCTCTGAGGACAGGTAGTCCTCGACTTACCACCACCATTAAGCCCAAAACTTCTGTTCTGTCTAAGTGAGACATTTGTTAAGTGAGTTTGCCCCATTTTACGACTTTTTTGCCACCGTTGTTAAGTGAATCGCAGCAGCTGTTAAGTTAGTAATATGGTTGTTAAGTGAATCTGGCTTCCCGTTGACCTTGCTTGCCAAAACGTCGCAAAAGCAGATCACATGACCCCGGGACCCTTCAAATGTCATAAATATGAGTAAGTTGCCAAGAGTCTGAATTCTGATCACTTGACCACGCAACATCTCCGTAAATTTGAAAGATTGTCATAAGTCTCTTTTTTCAGTGCTGTTGTAATTTTGAACAGTCACTAAACAAACTATCTGATCTGCCTTGTGTTTGAAACAAGATGCTAGATAGGACTAATGTTATTCCTATCCAATCCAGTATGTGGATTCTTGAATTATTACCACTCAAGATAATTTACCAACAATGGATTTGGATTTGTCCACAGAAGTTCAGAGCCATATTTGGGCAGGAAACACACTGCTTTAGTCATTAAGTTATAGAACAATTCTGCATCTCTAATCTGAGATGAAAATAATATATAACTCAAAAGTATACTTTGCTGTGGGTTTTTTTTCCAAGAAAGCTTAAAAATATAAATGATTCCTGAATGCATGCATTTGATATGAAAGTGGGACTCACTGTCAGAATTGCAGCTTATTTTAGGTAAGTATGTATTTTTTATTCCTGCCTCAAGCACATAATAGAGTACCAATAATCTGTAGATTGCTGGCTGAGGAATTCTGGGAGTTGAAGTCCACAACTCTTAAAGTTGCCAAGGTTGGACACCCCTGCTGTAGAGGAATGTATGCTAATAGTGAGTGGGGTGTGAGCCACATTTTCCATTCTGGAACCAGTTCATTATAACATAAGATGTATTTTAAAAACAAATGAATATTTTAAAAGACATGGCATAGCAGGAATAACATAATTAGTTTTCATTCAAAGACACTGAAAAGAATATCTAGTTGGATGTCTGTTTAACTTTCTAGATACATCAGACTAAAAAATGGATTATGTGCCTTGCTCATTTCGGACTTGCATAACCCAGATGGTAGCCCTTGTGCAGTATCTTCAGAGGGGGAAGATGAGGGTGACTCTGAAGAAGAAACTGATGATGATGATGATTCTGGAGCAGAAATAGAAGATGATCAAGAAGGCTATGATGATGAATGTGGCGATTATGATGAAGATTTAGATCCTGATAGTGAATTAGAAGAGCTAACAGATAAAGATGAAACTCGGAAAAGAAATTGTACAGAAAAACAGGTATGTATAATTAATTTGGATTGAGTAATGATTATAGCCATAAACTG